TTTGGTGCACAATATTTGCCGCAATAAGCCTTTAAATATTTACCGTGATATCGGCCATGTTAACATCCGCTCACTTACTGTACGTAGGCCATTGCATTACCTCGTTTAGGGAGTGGTGGCAGAGGAAAAAACGCCGAAGCTTGCTGAAACTTTGAGAGGATGATAGCACTTTCTGACACCGACGAGCGGGGAGAGCACAAAAACACAATGCACTAACTTCAACTGTTTTTGTATAGAAAAACAACCCCATAAGTATAAGTACTCTGCGCCGTGGCGTCACTGAACCAACACTGTGCCCTGTCGCTGTTCGCAAGAAGTGGGAATCTTTGTCGGCCAGATCAAAGTCACGCTGACGCACCGATCCCTGTAACATTTTATCGGTCTGCCTCTATATATTCTTGTACTGTTTTATCCTTGTGACCACTGATGATGTTGCAATTTTCAGATCTACAGTTGTTAAACAGTAAAGGTTTCGGTTAAGTGTATGAAAAGGAGGAACCAAAATGTGTATTATCAAAGCACAGCGACCATTCGAAACTTGAAAAGGTGGGTGTCGTAAAGCCCCTTATTAGAATCGTGCGACAAATTAATTTGTTTCGCCGAACCAACTGATGTGCACGCCAGATGGCGCTGTTGGTAGCGGCACCGCGGCTCCACTCTCTTGTCGCACGCTCCTCATTATCACTCCGCAGCAGATGAGAGTATGGCTTTCCTCATTATGAACAACAAAGAAAGAATCACGCAGCGCATGAAGATAATAAGCCGTGCCGTTTTTAGTTTGTAAGAAAGAACGGCAGGACTTATTGCTTCTATTCGCTGGCTGATTTCTTCTTCGGCGTTTATAAAGGACCGCTGAAGTCTCATTGGCTCTGGACACACAGTGGCACCCCGGTGCGCCTCCCACTAGAGTCACTTGGCGTGAAAATCAATTGGATCCACGCGCCCCTTTTAGGTGTCGCACACTCCCTATTGGCCTCGAGACCCAGATTGAATTGTGTGGAAGCGAGCTTTTATTTATCCATGTTCTCTATGAGTGACGTGGTGATTCTATCTGTCCACAATGCGGGTGGAAACAAAGCATCCACTACATCCACACTATCGGCAAAGAGCACGGGCAAGGAAAAAGAACACAAGCTTTTAGCAGTTGATTCCACTGCATGAGCTCTGCATTGGCGCCTTCCATGGCTTCGGCCTCGCGTGCGAAGAATTCATTTTGCTCCAAGTAATTGTAAAGCATAGCGTAGTTCTGTTTGTCACCACATGAGCCGTGTCGATCAAATCTCAGGGTGAATAGGTAATGCGGTAAAAAAATCATGTGTTCATTGTGTCTTCAGTACGCTAGTGAGACAGGTGGAGCGGTCGAGGTTAGGTATTTATGATTGGTACTTCGTTGGATCAATTTTGCGTACACAAATTGAAGAAATGCCGAAGGGCTTTGAGGGTACGCCGAAGAAAATGTTGTAATTTCGTACCTTTACAGGGTTTCGCGTATTCTAAAAGCTTTGGCACAGACGTTCAAAGTAAATGCCGTCGTTAAGACGGATTTGCAGTTAGGTAGTCTGACACCCTTGGCGTTTGAGCGAGGAAAGAGCTTTGTGAAGTGGCATAGGGATCCTCCAATTCGGTGCGTCGAGAAGGTGGTTCACAAAAGTTCCATTCAGTTGCGGGCTCTGCTACGTGGGCCAGACTAGTCGGTGCGGATATAAACGCCTCTTAACACAGATAATATGCGTAAAAAAATATGTGTCACTCATTCATCAGAATTTAGCAAAAACATTGCTTAATGTCATGCGTGCTCGCCATGTTGAAAAGGAACTTCAATATTGCGTAAAGCAAGATCTTAAAAAAATCTTAAATCTAACCTTAAGTGTAAGGTACCACCTAAACTGTGTAAGCCAGCCGTCTTTAGTTCTGAACGAACGCGTGACAAAGTTTATTTCGTTGCGAGTTTGTTCTTTTGTTTGGTGTTGTTGGCGGTGTCGAGGGGTGCGTGGTCCGCCTGGGCTGAATAGGGAGACTGCTGTCTTTCGCTCGGTTCACATAGCCTTGACGGGGATTATCATGTCTGGTCACTTGGTGGCGGGTGTCTTCTGTTGGCACCGTGTTTAGGTTGGAGGTCAGACTGTTTGGCTGCGTTCCGTAAGATCTATGCGGCGGCACGTCTTTTGTTTTCACCCCTTTCCTGTCTGTGTGGACGACTATATATTGCTGTTCCTTTGCGAATAACCCCAGCTGCGTTTGGGATTTTGTTTTGTCTTGTCCGTTATTCTATTTTCTCTGTGTTTCAAGGCTACTTTACGCAATTGCGTCGACTGCGCTGCTTCTTGCAGCACAGTGTCTCTTCACTGACTCGTCGTAAGCGTCACCTTAGCAACAGCTCGATGCAAGCAGTCTTAACGCAGTCAAACTTAGTCAAAGCACAATTGTGTGAATGAACCTTCCAAGTTTAGATTATTATGTTTTCTAACCAGATCGCTTGCACACTTTCGCTTCTTGTAATACCATTACTCCTTAGTTCATAAAAAGGAAGCCAATACGTAAGGACAGAACGAGCGGGTTGGTAGGGATAATTAAACTTGAGGAAGAAAACGAGAAGGGACGGACAAACACAAACTTCCAACTGGCAACAACATTTAATGACCCCAAGAGTTTGCTTATATACAGGAAAAGGGGGGGGGGTGAAAAGAGGGGTGGAAAGGAGGAGCACTATGCCGTCAAGGGTACGTCTCTGTCGGGAACGTGTGGGGAGAAAGCTCCGAACTAAGAAATCTTATCTCTTTCCCCGAATGGGCAATGAAGGGGAGCCGATGTCGTCCTTGGACTGAATCATGGCGAAGGCTTCTAGAATCTCCCTACCATACCTCGAGGAGTGACCCCTGATTCCTGTAGTAGAGGAAAGGACGGCCGAGCAGGAAGTACACATCACGACACCGTTAGCGCGAACACGACATCGGCGCATTTTCGCATTTTACTTCTAAATAGTATTAGCGAGCACAAAATTTTATCACTTGCATTATAGAACTAAATGAGCTCTTTTAGTAGCAATAATGACTTGGATGACATCCTTAGTTTCAAGAAGAAAAACCGGAAAAACCGGCGATTGCTTCTTCGCGCTAACAGTGTCGCGCTCTGTACATTCCGATGCGTGTTTGGCGATCGGGTGGTGAATAACCTCTGAACCGTTGGAGACTGCTTTTTTAACCTCGTTCGCGTGCTCTCTCAGGCGGTCGTTTAAGCAGCGCCGCGTTTGGCCGATGTATTGGGCACCACAGGACATAGGAATTGAGTAAACACACTCTTTGCGGCAAGGAACAAAGCAGGTTTTGTGGTTCTTTTGGCAAGGGGGCGCAGGTCCGGGGCTGTGGACTTTTTTGCAAATAGATGCCAATTTAAACTTACACGAGAAAACCACGTTGGTGTTGAAGCCCTGTGACAGTCGATGCGAAATGTTATGAATCTAGGGTATGCACGCGAAGCGGGACTTTGGAGGTGGCTTTTTGGATTGAGGCCCTGTGACAAGTCTTTTGATGGTAAGCTCGATCAAGTCGTTTGGGTAACCTGCCTTGAGAAGGTGGTCTATCTGATTGGACAGTCTAGTTGCGGAAACGTGGTGACACAACTTGGATTTGGCGGCAGCAATAAGGTTTCGGACAATACCAGTTTTTACTTTTTTTTAGTGCGAGCTGCTGAACGGTAGAACAGGCTTCGCAGACCTCTTCTGATTGAACCAGCAGATTCCGACACTGGTGCGGACCAATCTCAGATCAGGGAACTGTAATCCCTCAGATGAGGGGGTCTCTTTTGTGAACGTGAGCCGGAAAGAGTTCCTCTGGAAAACGCTTTCAATCGCTGAGGTATTTGAATGAGTGGAATGAAGGATAAGATAATCATCTACGTAGCGATAAACCCTAGCTTCGGGGAATTCATGCTCAAGGTTTGATTGAACCTTTGTGTCAACGTGAAACATAAAGATTTCGCTTAGGATGGGGCGCTAGGCACGACCTTATGCACACACCGGATGTTTGAAGGAACAATTTGCCCTCATGTTCGACTAGGGTGGACTGAAGATACAGGCGAATCAACTCAAGAAATGCTGAGATTGAGATGCCACATTAATTTTGAAAATCTATAACGCCTCTTAAGTGCACAGCTTCAGACACGAACCCCAGACGGGTTTTCACATTGAGACTATAATACAAATCTAATACATCAAGAGAGAACACTCCAACAGTTCCCGTACCGGCATGAAAATCATCTAACGTTGGGATAAGGTCCTCGGAATTATTTAGTCGGAGAGGTTAAGGAAGGTCCAGAGATTCGAGATATTTTTGTAAGAACATCGCCAAGGGCTTCTGCCAGCACCCTGTTTCCGAAATAATGCTACGGAAAGGCACTCCAGGCTTATGTGTCTTGGCAGAAAAGAACATGGATAGGTACTGCTAAGCAGGACAAAGAATGGCATGTTTTAGAGAAAGGAGGTTGGAGGAGTCGCAGAGCGCCTTCACCTTAGACCTGAGTGAAGCGGACGGCCTCGACTTGAAAGAAAGAAAGTTCTTTTTCAGCGCTTCGTCGGTCTTCTCCTGCATTTGTTCTTTGTTGAGGACGACGAACCTACCTCTTTTTCTGTATATAAGCAAACTCTTTTTGTCATTAAATGTTGTTGCCGGTTGGAAGTTTGTGTATGTCCGTCCCTTCTCGTTTTCGTCCTCAAGTTTAATGAAGCGAATACGTTGCGCATTTCTCCCCTGAAAAAGTAATTAGGTTGTCACTTCGTTACAAAAAAAAAGTATCTATGTACAAGTAACGCGTTACTTGTAGCGCGTTGCCTGCAGGTCTCATTGATATAGGCCAGGGCAATAAAATTTTAGAAAAAGAAAGTTACCTTTTGAGTAGTGATGTGGCGAATTTCTGCAGTATGCCCCATGGTAACGTGGCCACACATGGTACAGTGAAGCGCGGACTTGTTTGTAAACGACATGTTGGGCGTTTTTCTTGTACAGGCAAGGCGGCCCGGGCGATGTACATGAGAGTGGTGGCCCTGGAGAACCCGTCGGTGACGGTCCTCCGCTACAATCCTGGGCCGGTGGACACAGCCATGTTCGGGCACATGCAAGGCGGCAGCGAGGACTGCGCCACTCGCTACAAGAGTATGTGCACTTTGTTGATCATCGTCTTGGAGAAACGGAACAACATTCTGGGGGATCAATGACTGGGTTAGAGCCCCGAAGCTCGGAGCGCGTGCAGCGAAAGTTTACGCAGCAGACCCCAGGGATCCTTGGTTATATCCCCACCCTTGTCCGTCTCGACCTGGTTGAGCTTTGTACCGGTGTGGGGTCAAGCATCACTACTGCGTGATGCACGTTAAAGACCCCATGCAGTGGTTGTGCTGCACTGACTTGATTTCTCATCTATTAGGAATTAAATCCAACCGTCGCGCCCCTGGTGTAAAAATTTATAGGGACTCCGATAGGGACTACAACAACAGAGATTATTTGTTTTTGTATTGACGTGCCGCTCGACTCACGTAGCCTAACATTCCGTCAGCATTCAGCTGGGGCTCGTGTTCAATCAGTTAAGCCGAAAGCGGACGCAGCAAAAACTTAGTTGTGCCCAATTTTTGACCCGCGTCCAATCGAGAAAGATTAAGTAAATAATCCAGTGCACATGCCTTGCGTTAGTAAATACAGAACTCTGTGGAAAACAACCAGGCCGTAGCGCCCCCTACAGTTTGATCTGCTCGCCAATAGCTGAGACACCAGACGTCCATTGAGGCTGACTAACTTCTAGGTGTATACAACACTACACAATTGCTTTGTGGCCGAATTCGTTAACGCATCGCAGCTCGGAGTAAATAGAGCGAAAGCTCCTGATGGGGCAGAAGCCTGGAATCCTGCGTTTGATACCCGCCTCTGCCCGTTGCGATCTGGATGATCCTTGTACCGGAGTTCAGTAGTATCGCTACTGCGTGATGCGCGTCAAATACCCCGGGCTGCCAGCAGCACTCCACGAGCTAAAGCTTCTTTCTACGGCGTGAACCGGACAAGATAACTCAAAATAAGTGGTACAAAAATATTAAGGGTACAAGAAAAAAAAAGAGGCGCCAATGTGTGAAGGAAGCATTTTCTAAAGTCATGTCTTGGATATCATAACACCGTACACAACTCTCTGGGTGGACGGGTGAAGGAGCAACTCTTCCATCTAGTTGTTAATGTTGATCTTTTGTGATGAATCTCAATGTCTAGCTTGCACAGACAAGAGGCTCGCTAGACAACAGCCCCTACATTAATTTGCCAAATTAAACTTATCCGCCTCAAAAATTACATCGGCCGTCTTTTCTTTTTTTTCAGAGGCCTTAAAGCATGGAAAAGTAATGACCCCCGAGGTGACTGCAAACGCACTCGTCTACATCCTCGAGCAGCAAAAATTCAAGTCGGGTGACCTTGTGGATTTCTCGCCTGCACATATAAATGGAGGATCAACATCGGGTTCATTCTAGCGGTTCGGGAAGGCACGGCCGTATTTCACTTTCAGGCAAGAATAATTGTTGGTTAACTGGGAGTTTTAGTAGCTCGTACCGATAATGATGCGCGATAACGATGAAAATGATGCCCGATAACGTTGCGGGCGAAAAGGTGCGAACCACGCATCGTTATCGGGTACCGTTATCGGAGTTATCGGAACGACTCCTGTCTGTTTGTTCGGACCCAAATGCAGCATATAATCGATCGTATCCAAGAAGTGTCAAGTGTATAAAAGAAATAAAACTTCAATTTCAGAAAATGTCTCGTAATATTTTAATCTATAAACCATTCCATTTACCTGTCTCAGGGCAGCGCCATTTTGTTTGACCGCAGCGCCCCCTCCACACACCCGGGAAGTTCAACAGGTTCGGCGGGGTAAAACGAGAGAGAGGGCACGCGCCCGACTCTGCTAGCAGACGACAAACCTGGAGGTTGCCGTTCTCCATCTTTGAGCTGTGCCGGCGGGCTGTACCGAACATCGAACTCTCGCTTGTGGCTGCCGTTAGGAAGTGGCTCGCGTTCTTAGAATATTTATGGCTACTCCAAAATCAGACTTTAGCGCTCTGTTGTTTTACCTAAGTGAATGATTAATAAGCGTGTCTTTGTTCCGTTACTTCAATTGCAGTGGAGTTAGCCGGCACCTCAACCACTGCGTCTATTGCGCTAGTAGAGCACGTTTTTATTTATTATTTCAAACTTCCACGCATTGTCGCTAAAGGCCCACATCAGTACGAACTTCGTATAGTAAAATACCTACAGCAATCGGATTTACTTTTCGCCGGAGCGACCGGCCACTCTGACACAGTTTTGCTAAATTATTTTATTCGCACGGAAATAACATCGGAATTAGACTTGTTTTGTGTTTTATCGAGCATATCATTACACGATAACTTGCATACCAAAATCCGCGCAGCTGCGCTTGAAATTTCCAAAATGACGCAATTTTAAACGAGGTTCGAACGCCAGCCGCATGTTAGCAACAGCTCACTTGGCGGAGCAGACGACGCATGGGGTGAGAGGGAGAGGGCATTTTTGCTCTCTCCGCTCTTCTTAGGGGAACCGTCTACACACGATTGCGAGTAAGCCCACTGGCTGCCTCAGTGTCTCTCTGCTCGTGCGGGCGACCCGGTGCAATTTCGAGCTTTCCAAAGTTATCTTCACGCCCAAGCTGCACTTGCTTGCACTGATGGGGCACAGTGCGGGGTACCATGTTTGCAAATAGACCGATCTCACTAAGCGTTCCACGCATCCGTGATGCTGCCATAAATGTAGTTCATAGGAGTCTGGCGCCAGTTCAAGAGACAGCTGGTGACCCCTCGTGCTCTGCTCGCGCTGTCCCTCAGCGGGCTTGTCGCGCGTGCAGGACACTACATACAGTTCCCACAATGCATGGCGGCAGCGGTGGCGTAATGCAACCGCTGGCTGTGAGATCGGTGAATTGTCTCTAGACGATTCTAAGCGTGGCGATTGGCCGAAGCTAGTCGCCGCCATGTCCAAGCTATTGCGGGTAAACCCGTGCAATCACAAGCTTGTCAAAGCTATGTTCACGCGCACGCTGCACTAGTTTGCACGCATGGGGCACCAGTCGGGGCGCCATGCTTGCACTTGCCTATTCACGGCGAGAAGTTTGGGTAACACCGCCTAGTGGAATTTTTTCACAACCCAGAGTGAGGATATGTCATCTTCCTCTGCTTGTGCAAACACGTGCAATTCTAAGCTTCTATTTACTATGAAAATTAAGACATAACCGCGCGGGTACCTCTTGCACTACCATAATGAGGAAAACTGCAGCGGCCCTTTCGAGCCTCTCCCTTTCTGAAAAAGAGCGTGTGGCTGGCGCCATTTTGAGCGTTCGTGCGTATGGCGCCTGCTTTGCTCGCTTTCCGAAGCGACGAACACGCACCTGGTGGGCCGTGAAGATCGCACGCTGGACTGCGAATTTGTAATCACTGGAAATATTGATAATCCGGTCACTTTTAAAGGGGCGATGCAACAATTTTTGTACTTTGCGAAAATACCGCTTAAAACGGATTCCTGACGTTATTGACCTATGAAACACCCGTTCGTTTTTCACCGCAAGCAATAGAAGTTCCGGAAAAAAATTAAAGAAAAACGAGCAGCGTTCGCCCCCTCAACTCGCAGCCAGAACAAGCGGCCGCGTGATCTGGAGCCGATTATATGCCGCCAATGTTGACCATAGCCACGCGCTGGAGTCGGCAAAGCACAGGACACGCGATGAGTTCCAGACATTGTTATGGCTCGGCTATTGTCGTCGTTGCAGCGATTGGACACGGGCCACTACCCGAATGCTTCTCGAGCTAGCAATTGTCACGAGCCCAAGTCGAGTGCTCACGCAATGCTCGGGTCCAATCTATGAACCACATTCAAATATCGTCACTTGGGTGTACTGTGATCCCCGAGTTACGTCATCAAATTTGGCAAAGAAGAGATTGAATGAAAATGATCGCTTTTATCCTTGAAATTACACCGCAACAAAGGCGTTTCTTGGCCAATGGCGTTGCGTGTGAGTATCCTTGAGTCCCAGGTGTGCCAGTAAGCTCGTGTAGAGAGAAAAACATTCCAATTGAATATCGTTGCACAGCTCCTTTAAGCTGACACTGCAGGCAATGCCACAAGGATGAAAGCACGAGATCGTGATTTTGGAACGTTCTTCCGCAAAACGAGCGCTCGCGCCAGGAAAGCACGTGTCAATGCCAGAAGCGTTGGCTAGGCCTCGCTTGTAGGTTTGGCTGCCATCTCAGCTTAAGGGTGAATAGAGTAAAAGAGCCCCTGGCTGGGGTGCCATCTCCAGGGTTCGAGCGTATGACACGTGTCTTTCATGCGTATGGAACGTGCTCGGCTGAGGAGTTGCACGCTGAGGTGTGGGTTTGTAAACAATACAAAAGTGGAATGATTCTTACCCCTATTGAAAATCGCTCTGAGGGTACTTCAGGAATTCTTTAAAGGGTGTGAAGGGGACTTCAGGAATTCTTGTGGTGTTTGATATTTCCTGGTGGGTTCGTTGGCCCCGTCAAAGGCTCTCCTGAAATGTCTCAAGTCCGTTGACAATGCCTTGAAATGTCTGAAAGCCTGTCAAGAATTTTTCTAATGGAGTCGGGAAAACCTTCAGGCTTCTTGAGATGTCTGTGGGGAAATGGCCTAGGTGGAGAAAACACATTTTGCAGAATTAAAACATAGCTATGTATTGTTCGCAAAGGGGAAAAAATAAGTATTTGGAGAATGTCGATCGTATGTGTGTACGGTCAGTTTTTTATTACTGCTCTTCTATCAAACACGACTGGGCTCCTCGACCCGTCTGTCACCGGCCGGGTGTTTGGTCGCCAAGGGGGCTACGGGTTCGATCGCCCCATGTGGAGAATTGACAAGGCGCGGGCCGAGTGTTGTTGGTCGAATGGCGTTTTGAGGCGAACAAGCTTTACTTGTTGCATAATAATAATAATAAAAAAACGCAAGCCGAGAGCAGCGCGTTGCCCAAAAACAGGGACGCGGCCGGGGAGGTCGCGAGGGCGAAGCGGCAGCGACTCGTCCCGGGAACCGGTTTTACCGCGGGGGACTGTTGTGTGTTGGCAACCGAGGATATCCAGGGATGCCGGTGAACTGGTGCACGCGCGCAGGCACGAGACGTTCGACTGCTCTGGCCCCAACCCGGTCGGTTGTGCCCGCTGTATGCTGTAATGTATATATTATGTAAAGATTAAATACACAACATTGGCGACGAAGTGGAGTCAACCGGCGGCGGAAGACCTTCTAGAGCGCCGTTCACGGCGCCATGGCAGAAGCAAAGGCATCAGCGGCGCCGGCATTCGGCGGCATCGAAGAGTTCGCACCGAGCACCGGTGCAACATGGCCACTGTACCACGAAAGACTTGAGTTCTACTTGATCGCAAATGAGATCAAGTCAGCCGAGAAGAAGCGTGCAATCCTGTGCACGGTCTGCGGGGCGGCAACGTACGCCATCATTCGTTCACTCTGCTCACCGGCTCTACCTTCCGAGACGAGCTACGACGACATCGTCTCGCGACTGGCGGCCCACTTCAACCCGAGGCCGTCCGCCATTGTTCAGCGTTTCCAGTTCGGGAAGCGCGACCAGCGTCAAGGAGAAAGTATCGCCGACAACATCGCCGAGCTTCGTCGGCTGTCGGAGCACTGCGCTTTCGGGCCAACGTTGGACGACATGCTCCGAGACAGGTTAGTCTGCCGCCTCCGGGAAGAGTCCCTTCAGCGACGGCTTCTCTCCGAGCCGGAACTAACCTTCGCGGTGGCCAAAGAGAAGGCGATAGCAGCAGAGTACGCCCACCACCAGACAGAAAAGATCAGGGGGGCGTCCGCAGAGAGCAGCGATGTGTGTCGTGTTGGTAAGCAAATGGCTCCAAGAGCTAAGCCTAATGCCGAGGCAGCAAGAGAAAGGACTGCGTCGAAGTCACAGCAAGACGCTGGCAAGTGTTTTCGCTGTGGAGGGTCACACGCACCAGACGAGTGTCGTTTTCGACACGCACAGTGCCACTTTTGCAAGCAGCGGGGCCATATCGTGAAAGTTTGTCGACGAAAAGCGAAACAGTCCTCACCGACGCCTGGGCCTACAGGTGGCAGCCGCCAGAACGGCCGGCGGCGCGACAGTGAAACAGCGGATGTTTTCGGCATCTTCCAAATGACTGCCGAGGAACCTGCTATCCGCGTGGTCGTAGAAGTGAACGGGAACCCTCTCGAGATGGAAATCGACTCAGGAGCGATGTGCTCCGTGATCAAAGAGAGAACTATGCGTCAGCTGCGGTTGTGCAAGCACAAGCTGCGACCGTGTGAACTACGTCTTCGCACGTACAACCAGCAGGAATTGAAGGTGCTAGGCTCCGTGATAGTCCAAGTCACCTATAAAGGGCGTCAAAAACGACTGCGTCTCGTCGTGATCAAGGGAGCAGGCGTAGGCTTGCTTGGCCGAGACTGGTTCAAGGCTCTTGGGATTGAGCTGAGAGTCAATCAGCTGGAAGAAGCAACGAACAATCAGAGCCCGTCCAGCGCAGCAGTGCTGAGTCGTCACGCCGACGTTTTCCAACCAGGTCTAGGCAAGAGCAAGGGACCACCAGTTCGAGTCGAAGTGGAACCGACTGCCCAGCCCAAGTTTTTCAAACCGCGTCCAGTTCCCTTTGCCTTACTACCAAAAGTGGATGAAGCCTTGGACAAGCTCATCAGGCAAGGTATTTTGGAACCGGTCCGACATTCCAGTTGGGCGACTCTAATAGT